GTCGCTGCGGGCGTGCGGGGGGGGGGCGGGGGGGGGCGGGGGGGGGGGGGGGGGGGGGGGGGGGGACTGATGTTGTCATGGCAGCACCGGTGTGTCCAGAACCCAACGCCGTCACCGCCGCTCCAATCACGAGGCTTCCCGCCTTTTACACACAGGTCCGCGCCGATCTGCCCCCGACCTTAGGGCCGCACACGGGACTAACTGATCCGTGTTCTCCTCCCACAGAGATGCAAAGACAAGCTGAATTCTCTGGCCATCTCGGTGATGAACCAGTGGCCCGGGGTCAAGCTGCGGGTCACCGAAGGCTGGGACGAGGACGGACACCACTTCGAGGAGTCGCTGCACTACGAAGGCCGCGCCGTGGACATCACCACGTCCGACAGGGACAAGAGCAAGTACGGCACTCTGTCCAGGCTGGCCGTGGAGGCTGGGTTTGACTGGGTCTACTACGAGTCCAAAGCCCACATCCACTGCTCCGTGAAAGCAGGTGAGACCGCCGCAGACTGACGCAGACTGATGCAGACCGCCGCAGACCGCAGCAGACTGACGCAGACTGACGCCGACCGCCGCAGACCGCAGCAGACTGACGCAGACTGACGCCGACCGCCGCAGACCGCAGCAGACTGACGCAGACCGCCGCAGACCGCAGCAGACTGACGCAGACTGCCGCAGACTGACACCGACACCCTCCACGATAACAATAAGAAGAAGAAGGAGAAACAGGAAGTCACTTCAGTCACTTCTTCCAATTAAATCGTATAAAAAATGAGTGAGGTAGCCCCACAGTGACCCCTGGAGGGAAGCACGACCCACACACCACAGACTGGACTTTTACTGAACCAGGTGATTCACTGGTGTCAGTTGAAAACATGTATTTATTTATGATGGTCCTGACTAGTCTCCCCCCCCCCCCTCGACATAATCATCTAGGTAAAGACAAGTTGTCAAGGACATTGATGGTCCATGGTTCTGGAGGAAGTTGATGGTCCATGGTTCTGGAGGACATTGATGGTCCATGGTTCTGGAGGACATTGATGGTCCATGGTTCTGGAGGACATTGATGGTCCATGGTTCTGGAGGACATTGATGGTCCATGGTTCTGGAGGACATTGATGGTCCATGGTTCTGGAGGACATTGATGGTCCATGGTTCTGGAGGACATTGATGGTCCATGGTTCTGGAGGACATTGATGGTCCATGGTTCTGGAGGACATTGATGGTCCATGGTTCTGGAG